TAAATAAATAAATAAATAAAATAAAATCGACTGCACGTAGCCAAACATCTGTTGATTGTGATGATTCGATCAAAATAAAAGTCAAGTTTTCAGATAGCTTTGCTTTGTGCGTAGGGGCATAGCTTGCTGGACTGGCTAACAAATTTTCCCCCAACGGGTCAGTGGTTCTTCACCTTTAATTTTTAACTATATCTTTTAATAATCTTTTAATAATTAAATATTTTAATTTTAATTTGATTTCTACTATATTTTATTGCTATATTTTTTCATCTCTACTTCTTTTTGATAGATCTAATAACGTATCTGACTACTCTCTGCTGCGAATCGGGGCATAGCTGGCCGTTTGGCAAATACAATTCCCCCACCGTGTCGGATTCGTTATTAGATATTTTTGTCATTTTTTATTTTTTCTTTCTTAAGTTTTTTTTAGTTTAAGTTAAGTTTAAGTTTAAGTTCTCTATTGTTTAGATTATATATATATATATATATATATTATTTTCATTTTCCTTTTACATCGACTGCATTGTTTGTCGATTAAATAAATAAATTGAAGACAACAATCATACATATAGTACATATATCTCCAATACTACCTGTACAGCAGATCTGCACCAAATAGAAGCAGACAATAGAAAATTAGACGCTTTCAAAATAGACTTTTCTATTATATCAACATTTTATATTGTTGTATTTTTTTTTAAAACTTAGATATACAAATTGATTTTAAGAATTGAGTTCTTAAAGAATTCTAAACCAAATCGGTGAGCTTAACACTTCTTTATAACAAAATCAAAACAAATCAAACAGTACCAGAAAGTTTCCGCAACTCTTTTTCGAAACTGGAGACTCGATTTTTCTGAATTTTCTCTAAAGTATGAAGTAATTTTTTTCGGCAGTCAGAAGAGCTTAAAAATGAAGACGTTGTGCTTAAGTTTCATATTTTAACCTTTCCTCACTACATTTTCTAGTACTTCTATTTTTTTTTAAGAAAATGTACTTTCTTTAAAGCAGGGAACAACTTAAACTGCAGCTACAAATAATTCGAATATCCTTCAAGCTCTCCTCCCCTTTTGGAGGTCAGACAATTTCATTAAATAGTATTTTTCACAATGAAATTGTTAATAATAGTTAATAATTGGTAATTCGGCCACTTTTTAACTATTTTTTTAGACAAACAAACCAAACTTAAATACTTGTAGAACTTTTGTTATTTATAAGAAGTTGGTGCCTGTCACCAGTTAAGTGAGCACTGGTGTACAAAAGCTATGTCCTTTGGGCACTCACACATGCACACATGCATGTGTACACCCACGTATGTAGATTTCTTCACATATTTGTATTAAAAGCGATTTCTTTTCATATTCAAATGCGTCGTTTGCTTTGAGCTGCTTTGCTGTTTCCTCTGCTGCTGCGGCTGCTGCTGCTGCTGCTTCTACTGCCACTGCTATTGCTATTGCTACTGCCACTCCTGCTGCTGCTGCCGTTGCTGTTCCTGCGGCTTATCTGGCGCACGCTTTTAGCTGCCTTTGCTTTTTGCCCATGTTTTGCATAAAAAGAAATTTTTCTGCAACAACATACAAACCAACTCACATGGCACTTTGTGCCCCACTGCGTATGTGTGTGTGTGTGTGTGTGCGTGTGTGTGTGTGTGTGTGCATCTAATGCAATGCAGTCTGGGCTACAATGTGGCAAGTGGCTGCCAAGTCAGCTTGAACAGATTTACTGTCAATGGCCCAAAGCGCTTGCTGTGTGTTACAACGCTCCCACGACCATCCGGCAGCCGCACCACAAACCACCACCAGCACCACCGTGACCGGCACCACTCACTACCGAACAACGGAACCAACCACACTTGAAAATAAAAGTTGTGGTACGATTCAAATATAATATAACTGTTCCCAAAATAGAACAAATGAACAAAATAGAACAAATATGAAGAACCAACGAGCCATTAAATGAACTTTATTTTAATTCGTATACTATGTACAACAACGTAACCTAACTGATTCATAATTATTATTAATATTTTGAAGACGCAATAACTGAAGATGAATAATATAATGAATACTCTCCAAAACCTTATCTGGAAACCCGTTCTGCAAACCTATTCTCGACACCTATTCTTAAATTCTTATATTTCTGAATGCAGAACTGAAACCGCAATCCACTTGAGTTCGATTCGATATTAATGTAATTCAAGAAGTTGTTCATAACAGTTGGCTAAGCATCGGGGCCAAGCTGTACGAATGGGAAATATGTTAAAAGGCAAAATAGGCAATAATTAATACTCATAATTGGATTTGATTTAGGATGAATTTCTAAGTTACATATGTTAAAAAAAATAATTTGATTTGAATAATGCTTTATTACAATGTTGTTGTTCTTTAGTTTAATTAATACTCATAATTGGATTTGATTTAGGATAAATTTCTAAGTTACATATGTTAAAAAAATTAATTTGATTTGAATAATGCTTTATTACAATGTTGTTGTTCTTTAGTTTCCTGTGCCGCCAAATGTCGATAAAATGCAATAAAAAAGTTCGTAATTGCTTAAAAGCCAAGCTAAAAACACAGAAAAAAAAAATAAATAAATAAATAAAATAAAAAATAAAGACCAAACACAACAAAACAAAACCTTAAATAAATAAATAATTAACATTTTTTGTTTTTTACATTTATGGCAACTTCTAAGGAATGTATGTTGTATGTTTTGTTTTTGTAACTTCTCTCTTTTATTTTCAGTGTAGGTGGCAGCTCCATGGCCCCTAACCCGTATTTTTCCAACATTTGTTCGCTCGCCTGTTTGCCATTTTAACAGTTTTGCGCTCGTTGTTGGTTTGTCTGTGTGGCAGTAGTTGGTTGGCATTCAGTTAAAACTCGCAGGCCGGGGCCGCAAAAGCTCCTTCAACTGGCTGGCCCCTTTGGCAGCCCTTCTCCGCCCCCGCCGCCACCCCCACATCCAGCGCCACCTCCACCCTCGGTGCCAGCCGCTTGCCGCTTGTTTGTTTGAAGTTTTTGCCTCTTAAGTGGCAACTACTTTGCACCTCAGCCAGTTGCCGAGCGGGCTAGTGGGTGGCTGGTGACTGGTGACTGGTGGGTGGGTGATGGCTGGCTGGCTGACTGCCTGGCTGATAACTGCCGGCTGCAATCCAATGTGTAGGCGTGTCAGCCATTCATTCATATACGCACACACCCCACGTGCTTCTCTCTGTGTAATATTGAAGTGGTGCTGTTTGCGGCCTTGAGCCTTTTTTTACACCTTGGCATACATTCAGATAAACGCACACACGCACACACACACACACACACACACACAGACACACTCGTGCACAAGTTACATGATTTATCAGCCAAGTGCAACAGCACAAATATAGATATATAATATAACTATATAGTATATAAGTAGTATATATGTGCGGCGCTTATATAATCAGCCAAAGCGAGAGTGCGCGCTTATCTAACGTTTGCAAAATTAAGCAAACACACATACACACACACATACATATGTATATAAGTATATTAGTGTGTGTTTGTGTGTGTGTGTGTGGCAAGTGCAACATTGTGGCACGCACGTAATTCCGTGCAACTCTCGGCAAACCACAGACCATTGTTTAAGGGCCTACCCAGACCTTTTGGTTTGAGTTGAAACCAACCTAGGCCCCCCTGCGAGCATAATTTTTATTTAAGAATAGAAAAGCATTTAATGATTTAAAGATAGTTGATTAAATAAATAATGTCAAGTTTAATTAATAAACTAGTACGTGGCTATGTTTGGCAAATACAACATAATGCACATATTATTATTTAATTGAATTACTTATTTGTAAAGCGTGCTACTAATTTAATTAGGGTCTGCTTTATAAGCACTTATTTATTTGTAACTGAACGAACAGTGCGGCATCTACCAAAAATTTGGGGCTTTGAAATGTGCCCACATGAATGGGCGTATTGTAATTATTTGCAGCAAATGGTGAAGCCCAACAAAATGCAAACAATTCTATAAATTATTGCAATTACAGAGCATGTGTGGGAAAAGTATAAAATATTGCATAAAATTAAATTCTGCGGCTTTTTAATCAACCAGCGCCATGTTTGCTGGTCAGCGGCCAGTTGCCCAGCCAGTCGACCAGTCGGCCAGCCGACCACTCGAGCCACTCGACAAACAATAAAATTATTTAATTTATGATTTATGCACGCTGTCATGCTCCAGCCACGCCCACCGTCCACCGTCCACCACCCACATCGCCCGCACGTCATTCTGTCATGTAATCAGAAAATATTAGCTAATGAGCCAAAGTCACCAAAATAAATGGCCGACGGCAACTCATAAGTACTACTACGAGTATAAAACATTGCCGCTCCGGCGGGGAAATCATAATTCTATATTCTATATGGAAATCAATTTTGCTGAAGTCGCTACACACAGTCGGAAGCGGAGTGCCATGTCCTGCGACCTGGGATTAGATCTGAGTTTGTTTTTTCAGTGGCAGGAAAGCGTCTAAAATTGCAGATGTGATTTACATTTTTACACTCTGTATCCGTAGGGTAAAAGGCATGAGGAGACGAATCGATCTACACATGTCCGTCCGTCTGTACGCCTATCCGTCTGGATGAACGCAACGATCTCAAAAACTATAAAAGCTGGAGTATCCTATGTTTGTAGCCAGATTCTCCTAGGTCCGAGAAAGGACAAGTTTAGTTTATTTTATTTGTATTTATATTTATTTTTTTGTATTTTCGAGGGTTCATTGCGGCTTAAGAGGATCGATCCTACAGAGATTTTAGCAATGTGAAGCTGTCCTATATTTACTTTTTAGGTAGACTAGGAGACAAATTGTTAACATGTTCAGAAATTGACAAACAAAGCAGGCTGTGCCTTTTAGAAAACAAGGCAGGCTAATTAATCAAAAAAGCAGGCCTTGAAAATCCAATCCGTTTCAGATCCGAATATCGAGCAGAATTTTAGACAGAATTCTCAGTTTGCTTTCAGCTTCGTGCTGGAGCAGAAGTCTCGGAAAAAATTCAAAAATAACAATCAAATCAAAAATATTTGGCTACTTCCTAGGATTAGACAAAAAAAAATTTTAAGTTGCGAAAGTGAGTTAAAAATTTAAGGTCGAAAGAGAGAAGTGCTTGCTAATCTCTTTCTTCTTTTTCCATCTCTTTTTTTCTGGGCAGGCCATTAGTGTTCAAACAGCTGCACGGGCTTCCCAAATGAAAAGCACAAATCAAAGGACATCTCAACATAACAAATGCCAAACAAGATGCAGTATTAGACAAATGGATACTGAGGTAATAAGCCGGTCAAATGAAATAAAATTAACTCGATTGCATAATGTCCTCACATCCTCCACAGTTAAGAAAAGGAAACTAAGAACACTTACAAATGCCATTTAAGCTCTCGTAGTACGGTGAGTTAGTCAAACCGTTTTGATTGTTGTGCCTCATCTATGATATCTTTACTTTTTGCAGCCAAACTTCTTGCTTAAAACACTTGCCCCACAAATTAGAATTTGTCCGGCGGACGGTACCTGGTCCTCCACACCTGAATTTTTATTATTACAAAGAGGAACTGCGGATCGCGTTTGGCCAGGACTTGCTTATTTATCGTTTTGTTTGCCACATTTTTTGCCGTTGCTGAGAAGGTCAATGCCAACTGGCTTAAAGGAAACTCAAATAGTTTAAGCACATTTGAATGATTTCCTTTAGTTTGCATTCCCCTGAAATATACGACACGATTGCAATATTAATCTATGGCTTCTACATTATTCTTGTTGTAGAATGAAATTATAAATTTATGTATCGTGTTTTAGCTATATTTTCAAGTTGCGTTTTTGGCCCAATTGGAGCCACAAATGAATAAATTCAAAACAGAACTTTGGGACAATTTGACTCTCAAATAGAGCAATATATAAAAATGTAGTTTATTTTTTAGGTTTATTCTAGTCCCCAGTCTAAATGCCAACTGACTAAACCAATAGAACCAATAAAACAAATTCTTGCTTGTACATCACTGTGGATAAAGCTTTTTTTTACTGAACGAAAAATTGTCATTAAATTTGGCTAAGAAATGAGATAAATTGAGGAATCGGTTATGAATTTATAAATGCTAGGCTATATTCAATTGCGATAAATATCATAATTTTGTTGGTGTGTTCTTAAAATCTCCAACTACTTGTAAGTGTGGCGAGTCTGAACGACGCCATCATTTGCTGATCAAGCATAACTAATTTGAATAAGTAGCTCGATATCTTATTTACCAATCGATCTCCAGGAGTCTGGCTGACAAAAACAACCGCTACCGCGAAGCTTAATAAAAGTACACATAAAATATGCTAAAGGCGCCACCTGCTAGTCGCGGCTCAAGCGAAGATATTATAGATTTGTTGTGCCAAAACAAATTTTCCGAAACGCCACCTATTGCTTAATTGAGAGATTTGCAAATGCCATGTGTATTCATTTGCAACTAGTCGGTGTGGTAACGCTATTTTGTACGCTCTGGACTATCAGTAGGGTCAGGCATCACTGTTACTACTAAAATATACAATAACATTTAAAATGTTATTCGAAATATTATTTACTGCCTGATTTTCAAAGAGTTTCGCAAAGAAGTAATAAGCTATAGCAGAAAATATTATATATAAGCATTTCATTCATTGTAGAATAATTTGCCTGCATGACTACACTTTAAATTTCAGAACCGATATTGCTTTAATTGTATGAACGTTAATTTTAATAGAAAAAAAGGGCTATGTGTCCAACTATTTATTTTAAAGACTTTTAGGGGAGCCCATAAAAATTACCCATAGTCATAGCCTATTTTTTTCTTTATGACCTCAAGGTTAAACACCTTTATTGGATCAATAGTTTAATGTCTTAATGTCTTTGTTATTGCCCTTCAAAAAGCTTTCGATCAGCGATCAAGTTTTTTTTTTTTGTGTCTGTAATGTTTTTATATTATTTATTGAAATAATATTTGTCTTATTTTATTGTTTAGATTGATTGGCCAAACAATCAATGGCAGATATGTTTATGTTTATAAATCTGTGCCGCAACCGATTTAACTCAAACACATATATCGCTGAGCATTTATGATTTGCGATTAGCGTGTGACATTGAAATGCTGATAAGGGATGTCGCTAGTATTATGTGTAGATTGAACTGTCCCATACAATTAATTGGGTTGTACTGTGGGCGTTTTAATTGGGTACGTAAATAAAAACTAAGCCTGTTTAAATATTAGTTTAAGTTATTATTTGCAGCAGGATAATCCAAAAACTATGCTAAGACCAAAATAGTCACGTAAAATAGATCTCAAAATTTATAACATGTAATAGAAAAACAGCTATATAGAAAAATAGGTGGATTATAAATAAAAATAATTACAATTTTGAGAGAAACAAAAAATTGGTTGGTCCCAAGGCGAAAAGGTTTTCAACCTTTAAACGTTTACAACTTGGTTGCGATGTCATACTTAATAAAATAATAGTCAAGAGAGAGAATATGTTCACCGATCCTTCTAATGGAAGCTATAAGATATCCGATTTTGGATAAGATAACTCTGCATGCCAAGTTTGATGACTCTAGCTATCCATTTCTCTGTAATTCGATTAATGATAAATATATTTTAAATGTTTATATTTCTGCTCACAAAACTGAGCCTGAGTCCCAAACGGTTCAACTCAAAAATATATCGCACTCAAAACCTGACCTGAGAGACATCTTTATACGATTAGAGATTAGCTTATGACATTGAAACACTGATAAGCGACGCCGCCGCCTGTTGATTTCTAAAGTTTTTCGCATTCTAATTCGAAAGCAGCACTGTCCAACATAATATTTTGGGCCATTTATTGGATTTTCAAACACGAATATTCATTAATTAGGTGGAAAATAGAGCGCGTAGAGCGTTTATTGGACTTGTTTTTGTTGAAAATGGATTACTCATATCTCTACTTTTTGTTGCGCAGTGTAATCGAAATCGAAGTTCAAATCAATTCAAATACAAATGAAGACAAATCAGTCTGCTTCGAGTCGCGCTCTGAGTTCTACGCTTTGAAAAAATGAAATTGTTTCTAATTTTGTTGTTGTCCTCGCTGCTGTGCATTTGCAGTGGCCGGGCAGGAGGTCTGCGGGTACGAAGAGACTCCAATGCGGACCTAGAAGCAGAGAAGGAAGCTCTTACAGGTGTTGGGGAGGACCATAGCGCTGACATAGACGCGAGTGCCGACGACAACGATGGTGATACGCAGGAGGAGACGACCCCACAGCCTCTCGGCATTGTTTCCATCAAGTCGCGCGCCATTGCCATGGATCGTGGACTGTGCAAGGAACTCTCGCCGTATCACCCGCACTACCCTAGGTGTCAGGAGTATTGCAAGAAACTTGATCACTGGATAGGCATGTGCCGGCGCGAAAGCTGCCATTGCATCTCCTAGTTAAACAATTTCATGTTGTTGTTTTTTTTTTCCAATATGTACATTTTCTGTTGCATTTTAAAATTCCAAAAAGAACTCTCAGCACTTTTATTTACACAAATGGGTCGCAGAATATTATTTCCGGATTTTCTTTTATAGCAATTAGATTGTAAAATAAAAATAAGCTAATATGCTTAGTCTTTTTCAAAATTTTCAAAACCCTCATTCATCAAATCCCAATTTTTTGTAAAGAATCGTATATTATTGCAACAAGATATCATGCCTAGACTGAGATTTGTGTTCTCTTCTGTTAAGTACCGCAGAGTTCTTTGAGGTACAACTTTGGTAAAGCCAATTCTTTCTTTAAAATCTGTTTATGGTTCTTCCGTCTTTTTCTCTCTTAAATCCAAAATGATGACCAAAATATTTAAATACTATACAACGTTTTGTGGCGCACAGTGTATAAGACAGCTGACAATTTTCCCAACTTGTGGGTAGAATTTTCTATTCAAAACCCGCATTCCTCCAAACCTTTAAAGCCGATTCGTGTCAACCGATCAATATGTTTTAAATATGCGAATAAATTCTAGACATGAAACTATTTAGCAAAAAAAAAAAAAAAAGAAAACACGGAACTTTGAGGAGAATTTTGGAAATTTCGACTGAAATTTGGGGAATATTGAATAAAATATTATTTGATGCATTTGATTGCATTTGCTTACAACTCTATTTTGATTCAAAACTCAAAGCCAAAAGCCATTTCTAAACTGTTATTTCTCAAGCTGGAACCTAAGACTTTCGTTACAAATACTATTTAAAGTGATAGAATAAATGTCTTCTTTAATATAAAATATAAAAGAATATTCACCGACCTTGATCAACAGAAACAGCGTGGTGATCAGGTATTATAAGATGCGAAATTTAATGAGCATCGTGTCAGATTGGAGGACGAAAATGTCTGTAACAGCAAACTGTAAGTTTCACTCAATATGAGGATCACCACATCATTGCAGACTCTGTGAGCCTACTTATAAGCCTGTCTGAGTAAAAGGGCCAACGAAAATTTGATTCCAGTATAGCCCACAAATGGCAAAAAGAAGGAACTGTTCCAATTTCCTAAATAGTATTATGCTCGTATTGGGGGCACCAAACATTTGAAAGGTAATCGAAAAGGGGCGTATACGTGATATAATGACTATAGTCATGAAAGACCCTTAAGCACCTTAAGTTATTATTTTTATAGAAACAAGGCTCCAAGAACCTCAATCGTAAACCATCTGCCATTATTTGGTTGAAAGACAAGTGTGCTTCGATGTGGTTCATTGCCTGCCACTAGTCGAAGTAAATATTTAACCTGATTGAATTGAATCTGACATTTTTATTTAACCAAGTGACGTTACAAATAATCACAATCAAATAAAAAAGTTTGATCAATTTTTGAAGCTGTTCACGAATATTCATTTATAGGTTATCGAGCTCAGTTCTTTTGCAAATATTCACCAATATTGTTATGAACATTTCTGATGAGTAAGAGTTGCGCCGAATTTGTTTAAATACTCATATTAAAATACTGATTCCGATTGAGTGCGAATGCAAACTTGGGCATATTTCGTATTCTTGAAAATACAATAAAAATAAATATATTGGCGATAAACATCCAACAAGCCGATGAGTAATATTTAGTTATTTTTTGTCTCATTTCTTAATGATGAAATAAGTGGCTCAGAAGCGAAGGCCGACAATAAAATATCCATTTCAATAAATTACAATTGGGCCACATTTTAAGGAATCGAAGAAATGCTAATTGGCCAATTATATGGCAACTATTGTAAGCAATCAGTTAAGTTGTTGAAATGAAATGCAATTAACTTTTCAAAGCACATTAAACAAATATCCATTGTCCTGGAAATTGTCGCAAATAGTCGACACTAAAGCATAAACTAGTATAAAACTATTAATAAGAAATGCTGAGTACCTATTGAGCAGAACAATTACATTCTATGTGCAAACAAATTAAAGAAATTAAATGTTAACACTTACTTTAGCAAAAAGATATCAAATGGAATGAGTTTTTGTTCTTCAAGCGAAGACCTTTTACGGACCTTATGACAGCGTCAGATATGCCTAAGAATTGGTATACAAACAATTATTTCTAATATTGTTTATTAGACATTGCAGCTCTAAATAATTAAATAATTTAACATGAATAGGTAAAATTCGCAAATACTACTTATATAGATTATTTCAAGTTCAAAACAAAGTGCAAATTGAAATTCGTAGACAAAGTCTAACTTTTATATTCGTCAGACATATTGCATCAGATTTTATAAACGGTGTAGATTTTAGATGCTGTCGGTTACTTATTCCCTCATGTTTACGTTTCGTAGCAGTGTAAACATCGAATAGGCTCCCCTAAACACCTGTAACAATATTTGTATTAGAAAACGTAAGTGGCACTCGATAAGAATTCAACGTTGCAAGCGTAGACTCGAAATGTTAGATCGATTGTTTCACTCAATATTGTTAAGCAACTTCTGAATGGATGTAAAGGAAAATGCATGGAAAACTTGTAAAATGTAAGCGATAAGAGCAAATGCAACCCTGCAGGAGTGCAATTGAAACGACTGTTAATGGTTTGCGAACTATGTCAATCAAAATATAATGAAAATAAAAATGACCATCGATTTAACGAACTTTCACTTACAATCGAAATTATTGATTCACCTATTTAACTCACCGCCAACAGGGTAGCCATTCGTACCGGTATAAAGTTGGCCGCCACAACCACCCTAATTTTCTGGGATCGCTGCAACATTAAAAGCAATGCCCGTCGAAATTTCAGATGCTGGTCCACCCAATTGCATGAGTAAATGGCGATGGTGAGCTGCTCGCCCTCGTAGAAGACCAACTCGGCGGCATAGCAAATTATCAAAGTCTCCATTGTGAGGGCCAAAAACATAAATAAGAGAAACACCGTTTTAGACGGACTCAGGTCGATATAGAAGATGAATACACCCAGGGCGCACTGAGACATGGCCGTGCAGAAGAACTGAAAGAAACAGGCCAGCGAAAGCGATTTATCCAGAGTATCCATCAATCTACAAATAATGTTGCCAATGAGTATGAGGTAGAGCAGTCAGTTAGAAAGAGACGTAACTCTAAAATGATTATGTGATCCTCAATACAGTCTCTCAGCGAAAGATAGACCTGCTCCTGGCTCTGGCCAACTTCATGCCCCAAGCTACTGATACGCATGGAGAGGGCTTTGATGTGTGCGGCCACCATAGTGAGATATGCCTGCGGATTCGTATCATTGCCCGCCACAATCAGGGCGTGCATCAAGAGGCCCACCAACTGGAGCAGCAGAGTTGCCATAAAACGCTGCCGAGTCTCCCACCAGTTCCAGGGGAACCAGGACGGAAATAGCAATTGACGGGTGGGCGACCAATAAACGACCAATCCCGCATTGAAAAGTATTTCAGTAAATAGAATTATTACCGCCTTGAAGATTCGCTTACACTGACGTTCGGCGCTCAAAATGATTGCCTGCTCCTCCAACGTATGCAGACGACCGTCCAGTCGACGCAGGATTTGATGCACCTGCTTTAATTGGCCACGCACCCGCCACAAGTTGGCGTATTTGATAATTGCAAATGAGTCTGGCAGGGCCACAAAGAGATTCTCGCAGAGCTCCATGAAGGATTCGGACACAAAACAATTTATGAGTATTGTCAGTGGAAAGCAGACGGCGAATAGGAAATTCCAAACAATCCTGTGCACATTGTACAATCGCATCAGTAACCCATCATCCAAGTTTGGCGGATTAAGACCCATGTAACGCCACAACAACCAGTGGTAGTCCATGGCCCGCGTCGAGTCAACAGTTGGGCACATCCTGTACGGAAATTCTAGTCCAGTCGCAGTGCAGGCCATTCTTATAGGCAAGTTTGTGGTAAATTTCTGGCGACACATTATTGGAAAATTATGCAAATTGGCGTGAACCTAGAAAGTTCATAATAAGCACTTTAACACGAGCTACTAAATACAATCACCATTCTCGCACCAAACATATATGTGCGTTTGGGAACAAACCACCAGGTAGCCCACGAATGGCACTTCACAAAAAATATGCAATACACAGAAAAACTTGAGAATCTTAGATATCGCAACTCTAAATACTCTAAATAAAATGTGCTGTTGTTGAAAAAAATAGTTGAAAAAATAGTTCTAATGCGATTTTACCGAATTTGGGGCTGGAATTTGTATTATTTTAAAACTCTTGCGTCGAGCTTGAGAATCTTAGATATCAAAACTCTAAATGCGAATGTAGTTGAAAAAAATACAATGAGTTCCAGTGCAATTTTATCCAGCTTTGGGCTGAAATTTGTATTATTTTAAATGGGACTTATAATGTACAGGTGTACCTCAACATTTCCAAGGCAGCTTTGTTAGAATACGCATGCATTTATTGACAAATAAAGGTACAGTTTAAGAATCCTTTGCGAGAAATCTTAGAATAGGTTTTATCCAACAGATCTCATCCAAATTATTCAATACCCTCATTCATCAACACAAATTTTTTTGCAAAGTACACATATTATCGTACATTATTGCAACAGGATATGGTGGCAAGGAGTTCTTTGAAATACAACTGTGGTAATTCAGCTGAGACCAACTAAAAATCTCAGTGTAAAATCTGATCGTTGTTAATTCGACTTTTTCTCACTTAAATATGTAGACCAGAATATTTAAGTTCTGTGACGCACAGCGTATAAGAACGACTTTCAGCTGACAATTTTCACAATTTGCAGGTATGCTACCTTCTAGAAACCCCCTTTCCTCCAATCCTACAAAACCAATTTGAATCCTTGAGGAACTCTAAGGAGAATTGTACTAAAATTTTACCCGAAATTGAGGCAAGGAACTGTACCAATTTCTTTTCTAATTTCCTAAATATTATGCTCATATTGTGAGCCAATCAAACATGTGCTCGTTAACGTTATAAAGTGATGAGTGATTTAAGGAGTTTACTTCATAAGTATATTTGTTTATAGAAACACAGCTTCCCTTCAAGTTCCTCAACCGTGCACCATCAACCATTATTAAGTTGGAAAACAAGCGTCGGTGGCCACTAGTCGAAGTAAATATTTAACCTGATTGAATTGAAACTGACATTTTTATTTCACCAAATGACGTTTTAAATACAAGTAGTATAACATTCAAACAAAACAAAAAACCTTTAATACATTTTTGGAGCTGTTCACGAATATTCATTTATAGGCTATCGAGCTCAGCTCTTGTGCAATTATTCACCAATATTGCTATAAACATTTCTGATGAGTAAGATTTGCGCCGAATTTGTTTAAATACTCATATTAAAATACTGATTCCGATTGAGTGCGAATGCAAACTTGGGCATATTTCGAATTCTTGAAAATACAATATAAATATATATATTGGCGATAAACATCCAACAAGCCGATGAGTAATATTTAGTTATTTTTTGTCTCATTTCTTAATGATGAAATAAGTGGCTCAGAAGCGAAGGCCGACAATAAAATATCCATTTCAATAAATTACAATTGGCCCACATTTTAAGGAATCGAAGAAATGCTAATTGGCCAATTATATGGCAACTATTGTAAGCAATCAGTTAAGTTGTTGAAAATAAATGCAATTACCTTTTTAAAGCACATTAAACACATATCCATTGTCCTGGAAATTGTCGCAAATAGTCGACACTAAAGTAAAAACTAGTATAAAACTATTAATAAGAAATGCTGAGTACCTATTGAGCACGTGTTTGTTTTTATTTTGTCTCTTTAGAACACAACAGTTCTTGTGTTGTTGTTGCGCCAACACAGAATACAGAACAAGAGGAAACGCCCTCATATAGATACAGAGGTATACATAATAATAAATACAGTGCCCATATATGCAGACAGTGTAATTTATAATAGACATTCAGATAAGGGCATTGACGACTTAACTACAAACATTAACAATAAGCTCGCTCTTTAGATTATATAACTTAAGAAACCTTTGCTTAACTGCCAGGTAAATATGGCTTTAACTTTAGATATCTATTTGAATGCGGTTAGTGAATTATTGGAGGTGAGAAAGTGCCGTCAACTTGTAGTTCTTCCGCTCATCTTTGGCCATAGTTGGTGGATCCAGTTGTAAGGATATTGCTGTCATTTAATTTAGGAATACCATCAGCTTAATTAATGATCTACGCATAACCAAAAATGCCGTCACGCAGCTGCGTAAATGTGTTATTACATTCTTAGGATAGAAGTAAACTGTTTGTATATATATTTATTTATAATTATAGCTTGTAATAAATCCTATATTTCAATGTGATTTTATGGCCAGTGCATCTGAGGCCTTCAGTAACAACACAAAGGAAGGCATGGCAGACCCTGCAAACTATATTCCTATATTCTTGATCAGTGTGGCAAGACGAGTCCAACTAAACTTGGTATTTATATACCCCTAAGCCCTAGGCAGTTTAAGATGTAATGCACCCCCATCCCAATCCCATTATAAGTTATTTTCAATAACTTGTTTAAGCTGGAGCTGCCTTTTCTCTTGCCAGAGAGTCGACCATCTTCTGTGGCACACAGTACATAATAATAGCTTTCAGGTGCCAATTTTCCAAATTTGTATGTAGGTATCCAATAGATATCAACTAAATAAATAAATATATGGGTCCTTGTAAGCATTTTTACCTGCCTGGCTGTCTACAAATAAGTTAAAACCCTAGATTTGTAGAGCTTTAGAGCTTTTTTACAGCCTTTATGGCGAACTCTTCCGCCTGGAAGCTAGAGCAGTATTCGGGCAGTTTGTGTGAGCAGATGCTGAGCTCAAATCTGCTGAGTATAGTTCCCCAGTTCCTGTATCCATCTTTAAGTTATCAGTCGTTAATAATTAATAATTTTACAGACACAAGAATTGTGGTTAAATGGTCAAAGCTGCTTATATGTCTACCATATGGCACCCCTCTGTTGATTCTTCTTTTCAACTGTTTTTTTTTTTAATTAGACTTTCTTTTAAAATAAATGTTGTTGTACAAATCTTGACTGGTTTAGGAAATGTTCTCCTCAGAGACAGAAAACAATGTTTTTGCTTTTTATTGATAATCTATTTATATGAAGAAGTATTTATAATTCCCAATTTGGTGTGAACATTTATTCTTGTCTACTTTTTTTCCACTGTTCACTGAAATATGAAGCTTCTTGCCACTTGAATAGCCAAATTTTAGGAATTAGAAAATAAAAACAAATTAATTTGTTAATTCTTTTCATACTTTCAATAAATGCACTTTTAAGGTAAGACAAAAATGAATTGGAAATCGAATATTTCTTTGATCAATTCTATACCCTGTACCCGTCCATTATTCAAATATTTGTAACTTTTGAACCATTGCAGCTAGAAACATAAAATTTCGTATGTCCTATCCATTACAAACCCCAAATAGCCTTACTTTATATAGCTGTCATTGAACAATTTTGTGTTCAGAAATAGATCTTATATAGAGTGCATGAGTAGTGCATAGAGTTTAACAATACACCTAATTCTGTTTTTACACGGTCTTTTTTTACACGATTTTGATATACAACGGTTTAAAAATTAAAAATTTCATATATATTTCTGTAGAGATAAGGAACCAATCACCTTTTTTTGCATATCAATCTTTGTACCCAAAACTTTTCTCTTTAGAAAGAGTTTTATACAAATCGATTTTCTTTATTATAAAGCTGTCAAAGAAATGATCGGACCAGAAATCATTCACAGCACCAAAACCTTTTTTATTTATATGATATATCGTTGTCTAAATCGAAGCTATACTATATCATATAGCTAACATTGGAATGATTGGTGCAACAAATTTTATTTACGTTGAATGGCTGTTGGAGGAAAAGGGAAAAAGGTACTGGATATTTAAGAATCGATATAGCAGAATTCTTTTAGAAAGATTTTGCTAATCATTTATAATTTTAGTTTGTTTGAAGCCATAGCTATAGCATATGCCATTGCAAAATAAATATTGGTAAATTGCTGCTGACTGCCAAGTACAGTATAATTTTCTTAGCTGCCTCCAATACTTTGCACAGACTTTAAAGGCAGTTATGCTAAAAAGGCAGCTAGCATAACTTTAATTTTTAACTAAAATTTATTTATACATTGTACATTTCATGTACAGAGCATAAAAATAAAATAAATTAATTCCAAAAAGCGTACACTTATATGCATGAGCATCTACGGATGTGTACTTGTATCTGTACAGTACAGAGAGAGCTGCTGGCGAAGCATTGGCAGACGTTGTATTTTTGACTATAACTATTAATTGTGATTTCTTTAGTTGTGCAAAACCCGGATAAAAGGAATTGTCTCGACTTGCCAATTATTTATTAAGTATAATTGTGTCTTCCATGCTTACTTTATTACTCAACATTTTTTAAGAGAATTCGTACGCCCTCTTGCTTTTCTGATCGATCTAACTGCGCTCTCTTGGTCCTTTGCGACAAGTTGGGGCGCTCGACCACCCACACTCCAACTTGTTGGTACGTCTTCACTCAACAGACTCAACACACAAATGTAGGCAAGTTAGCAGTCTGTTATACAACACATTCGGCAAGTTCTGTAAATTGAGTTTTTTCTTTCTTTTTTTGTGTATCTGTTATGTTATGGTGACATTTTGTCCTCTAATATAAAAGACCACTGTGAGTGAAACCTATTCATACGTGTGCATACATACATATGTATGTATGTATGTACATGAAAAAAATATCAAATATAAATCGCTGCGTACTTAAATTTACATACAGATTAATTGCGATCGCTTTAATTAACAATTCTTTTCAAATTGAACACCTTTACTTATTTAAATCACATTTAAAAACACTTAAAAAAATAAAAACACAAATTAAGGCACACACATACATAAGTATGTATATGTGTACGCAGCACATTAATCGCGCGGTATTCTCGCATTAATAAACACATTAAGAACACTTCACACACAACTTAATATGTAATATTTCTAATACATAAATTTCTAATATTTAAATTTCTAATATTTAAACTATTAATTAAACATTTTCACAGAGTTTTCGGCAACTCCAAACAAAAGGCGCGACGCGTTCAACAGGCGGAGAAAAACTAAGCCTTGCATTGCAGCTGCAAGCAGAATGCTCTCTAAGAATATAAAAGTGAAGGCAAGGAATCAAAAATCATAACTGTAAATCCGCTCACGCCCCTGCCATACGTGTTTCGTTTCATGCAAATTGTCTCACATGAAATTGTTGGTTGATCACTTTTAATTTTTCAAACATTTCATAGATGGCGCAACTAACAATTATAGTATTCATTGAAAATGGCGAAAAATGACTGCCGATATGAGGCGCTGAAGTACAAGGCTATTAAATAGGATGCACCAAACGTTATTATTTTCATACGAAATCACCAGCTAATCAAATTATACTGTAGAAATACGTTGAAGAAAAATATCAGGAAATGAATATAATAATATAATATATATATATTATATAATATATAATAATAAATATAATATAATATTTTGATATTTACTTAGTTTTTTGTTCAGTTTAATTGATTCTTTGTACTACTACTGTACTGCTAGACTATCCAATAGACTAGCAGTTTAAATATTAGGTAGTCCTAGAAAATATTCAAAGTATCTTCAAAAATTAAAATAAAAAAATTACAGCTGCTGTCATTTCCAATTTCGACGACTTTCAACAATTTCTACTATCGATTGTTTTCGTTTCAAGATTTGTTTTTTGCAATTCTTACTTATTACACGACCTTCTCGTGGAACTGTTTACTGCATTGAATGGCATAGTGTTGGGCGAAAATACGAGTTTTTCAAACATAGAGAACAATAATAATAACAACGCAAAGCATAACAATTGCTTAATAATTTAAAAGCATTTCAAAGTTTATTTCACTCTGCACCATACAGAAGGGAGACTTTGACGAGCTTATCGGTTATCGGGCTCAACGAGGCGGACTTTGTTGCCCCCGTATGGGTGGTTTAGTTGCCCAGTTATTTATTATTCATCTTAAATGGCTAATAGAAGAAATGCCATAAAGAGATTTGATTCATCCAACAATTACTGAACAAATAATTCTAATTGTTAATCAATTTTAAATATTGAACTAAGACATGCATATTGAAGGAGTAATTTTTTGGGAAGTTTGTTTTGTTAATAATCCCTCAAACTAATTAGCAAGTATGAAAATAATTGAAGCAGTTCCTCTTTTAAACAAAAGAGAGATAATATAATAGATTGTATAATTATGGAAATGAATCTTGAATAGTAATTAATAATAATAATTAAGTACTAGAAAAAAGGCACAGTAGAAGCTAATTCTGGAGTAAGGAAGTACTTTAATGGGGATTCAGTTGATATTTTTTCTTACAGGGTGCATTCCAAAATAAAAGGGAATTTTTAGAAAAATCTATTTCCATCAACAATTCTATGTCCGAAACTCAAATACGGGCTCCGGGGAATCGAGGCCACAAAAGTAGTTCGCTGAAGGACATATACACATATATACTACATTCCAACTTATTTCCAAAATTAGGCAGTTCTTTATATTTTTGATTTGAATTTAAATTAGAACAGAAACTCAACTGACTGCAAATGCGATAAAAATCGCATGAAATTATTATTTTGGATAACCCTTAATGTTGTGCAGCTTATTTCCGAATACTAGTAGGTGGATTGGGGTTTTCGAACTCGCAGTCACGATGTCGTTACAACTATGTATAGCTCAGGGAAGAGTATTGCTGTCGGAGACGACGACAAAATTGAAACAAAAATCAAAACAAAAACAGAAAGAGAAACAAATCGGACGCCTACGCATATGCAAAAGATAAACCTCAAGTCGTCAAGTACGCGTTTATAAATAAATAGCTGTGTACATACTTATGTATATATAAGTATGTATGTATATATGTACATATTTGCCGTAACTGCGCACAAACAAATGAATGAATGAATGAATGAATGAATCTGTATACATATATACATAAGTATATACATACATATATGTATCTTACACATACAACAAATGACTTCTAATTAAAATCAAACAAAATGACAGCCAAAGCAAAAGCAAAAGCAGTTCCGACTCGCAAACATCATACCAAGTTTGTCAATTCAACTACAACAACAACAACAACTACAACAACAGCGACAACGACGGGCTGATGATGACGCCAGAAACGCCTTAGTGTTGGCCAGAATCGCGCATTCTCAGCTGATTGGCGCTTCGCGGCCTTTTTGGAGGCGCGCTCTGAGTCTCGCTCGACACCTCTCGCTTATAAATAGCCGATGTTCGTCTATAAGCCGATTCAGTTCAAATCGAGCGTTTCGACCGACATAAATCACTTAGCCATATTTATATTTTTTTAAAACCATAATTAATTTTTTTTTGCTGTTATTGAAAAAAACCAAAGTTCGGTTGTGAAAAGAAAGATCGAAATATAGTAGAACATAAAACTGCATTATGGTGAGTGGCACCAATATTAGATCGATTAACTTGATTCAGTGTAAACAAAATTATAAAACTTACTTAAAGTCTGCTTAAAAAAACTATATTTTGTTTGTTTGTTTGTCTCTGCTAAATAACCATACAAAGAAAAGCCATTAACAAGGCCTGACATAAAGTACGTGAGGAAAATACTCAATTTTTTCCACGGAAACAACGCACTTAAGTATAAAAATAAAAAGAAAATAAAAACATAAAACAACAAGAACTACAGCGAACAACAGTAACAACAAATACGCATTCGAGTATTGAGTTGAGTATTGTTGAAGCGTCATTACAAATTCCCCAACTTACTATTTTGTTTATTTAACAATATTCGTTGCGAGCGAACTCTGCTGACATCGGAGCCGATCTTAGAGCAGATCAATAAATATACCTATGAGCAATGCACACTGCTGCTCAGCTGCATAAGTACACATCAAACAAATTGGCAGTAAATGCACTTTTATTGGCCATTTATGTGAGGGTCTGAAAATACTTGAAAACGTACGCTGGTCCGTCTGTATGAACACTGATAACTAGGGCTAGCTAGGGACGAAATTGGTCTGCAGATTCGCCTTATGATTTTATATAGATGGCATAGGCTTGATCGGTGGAACAATCACTCTATGTATGATAACCTTTTCGTTTATGAAGACATATTTAATAAAGCTGGTAGCTATTAAAGTTCTTTAAAATCAGATTACTACAAGAATGTTTAGAACAAAAAAGTTCCTATTAATAAATTGGTTATAGCAGTACTTAAAATATCAACTGTACTAAATATCAACCTCCTTTTGAGGTTAAATGTTTCTAAATATAATTAAGAAAAGATAATAAATTGTTATTATTATCGAACGAGATAACTAATGAGCCTAACACAAGAATTTCCCCAATTTAATTTTAGACTTTATAGTTGTGATTGGATAGTTCCATTGAGCCATTTCAGAAGTAAATTTTCTATTTATTATTACCCAAAGTTCTTCAATAAATAATGTTAAGTTTGAAGATACTTACACTCTCCTGTTAACTAAAACATTTATATTAGTTTATTTTTAAGTTTTCAAGATACAAAAACTGTATATATAGTATCATTTTTTGACATATAGCTGCTTATATAAAGTAGAAAAATAATAATGAGTAATACCCAATATGGAAGGGGGACTTTTTCTCAATCGTTTCCTGACATGAAGCCCTATACTATTAATTCTAGGCAGGCATTAAGCAGTTGCTACCTACGAGTGCATGAGCAGCCTAATACATATATCTTAATTAGATCATGCCTTTTTGGACTGGAGGCTTCTCGATTTCAGCGAAGCGACAACTAATTTGCATAAAGTTTTTTTTTCCTCGTTGAGTGTCACCAAAACAAACAAAATACGTTGTTGTCGTTTTTTTTTTTAAATAAAGGCCACCTCCAACGACATTTCAATGGGCTGAGTTTATTCTAATAAAACGATTTGCTCGCTCCAAATTAGGTGCGAGCTGTCAGGTTAAATATCACAAGCAATTATGTTACTTAGCTGGACTGAATGGCTGAGAATGTTTGTCATATTATTCATCTTATTTGCCGATGTTTGCTCACTTAACTAATGAGGATGATTCATGCCAGAGAACGCGCTTTGCTAACCTTTTGAAGAATACACTGCACACCAAAGAGTACAAGCGTTTTATTATGTCATACATAACACACAAAAAAACAGGCTTCTTGAACCAAATCATCGTATTTGATTAGTTGGTATAACATAATGGTATAACATCTTTATTATTACAATTCGAGCTCTATAAATCAGTTCCCAAGAAAAATTACCAAAAATTCTGAATAAAGTTTGGTTTGTTTGCATTCTAACAGTACAAAAATCAAGTTTGAATTCGTTCAGATATAAAATATAGTTTATTCATACGACCTTTTCCCCCTTTTGGAGTTTAAATTTTTTTAAAGGAAGCTCGCTTCCTCACTCTAATCATTTGAGCTGTGCGTTGATTACCAATTTTTCAGTCAACACATACTATTTTTGTGTATCGGTTATTATTTAATTCATTTCATCATTATGTATATTAATTTATTTATTTATTTTAATTGACAGAATTCGAATGAAGGGAGTAGTTTCTGCGTTTCTTTTGTTCTAGGATTTTGTTTGCGTTTCTATAACTTCTTCGATATATAGGATTCTTACAGTGATTGAAAAATGAGGATCTGACACAAATTGTAATCTTCGGCTTAGATAACGAGATAAGCAAAAACTGTGGATGAAATATGAAAACCCTTTCTTTTGCTCAACAGCTCCCAGTAAGTAGAGCCTTCAACGATTGACTGTGAAGTTTTTTTTTTTATTATTTGAAATAATAAATCCCAATTTATTTATTTATTTTTTGCAGCAACCATATATATACATATATAAAACGTACGAATTGGTAGCGTTTCATTGTGAACTATTATATTAATGGTATACAAAAAAGTTTCTAATTAAGATAGCTCGAGATTTCGAAAACATTCAGCAGTATTTTTGTACTTAGCCAAGGGGTTTCCAAACTGACCGTAATTTTGTCACTGTGTGGTGGCATTACTTATTTTTTTTATGGCTACACATAATTATATCTATTACTCAAGCTTAGGTTCGGTTAGACAGATTCATTGTGATGTCAGTTCTATATGTTTTAAAGATCGAACGAATCCGAACGTTCATTCTCATTATTAATCACTCTTTCTCATTAATCATGCTCAATAATCATAATCTGTGTGAAATAAATAATGACCCCGATCTTCAAAGAAGAGAGTCTTTCTTAGAAGGCACACAGAAAGAGATGTTTGGCGGATTCTGTGCAAGCCAAGAAACCACAACTATTTCATTTCATTTAATTTAATTCATCTACCTATTTGCATCAATTTGTATTGTTGCTTTAACAAGACGCTTATTGTCGGAATTTCCGCTGACAGCCACATTTTGAGGCGATTTCTGATTTCGAATTTTGAAGTTCATGTTCAGCGAATGTTTCGCCCACACAGCCTAGCAACAAGTTTATGGCTGTCGGAAACGTTTTAAGTTCTAAAGTTGATTTGATTTGATTTTGTTTGTTAAAGTAGCGATCGTTTGTGCGTTGGCAGTAAATAAACGCCTCTTTATTAGCTTTTCAATGTACTTAGCTGGGCATTTGAGGCCAAGCTTCTGCCCATTAATATTCCCATTCCGAATATGGTAGATCTAACATTTTCCCCCTTTCTCTCTCTCTCTCTCTCTCTCTGTCGATCGCCTTTTCAGCTGCCACATCAACAACTATGGGGGCTGGCGTTAGTGCTACTGGCTCTTATGGTTCTGCCAAAACTGACAACAGGTAAAAAAACTGAGAAAAGGTGTGTGAATTGCACATATCGTACGTATTACACCTATGGCGATGGACGTGCACTGGAGCGCGTTATATATCGAGATCAGACCTACACACGTGGTATTTACAAATGCTCCAATTCTACTACGCCTTTACCTAACATCCAAGCAACAGAGAGCGCACCGATCTAACCATATACTTACTATATGTAATTTTATTTTGTTTTTTTTGTATTATAATTATGTATATACAAGTATGTATGTATTTAGTTGTGTAGTAATCGCGTAACAATGCCCACAATACCCACATATCTATTGTACTTGTATATATTCGTATCGATATCACCTTATTTTTAACTTCCCACCATGCACAATCGACACCTTTACACAACGTACGCCCCTTTTCTCCATCTCGCCCTGTCGCAGCTGCCCAAACGTACGGGTGCTACGGAAACCCGTGCGGCTTGAATGCCGTTTGCCAGGAGACCGCCGGCGGCCGTCCGGTCTGCTCCTGTCCACCCGGCCACAGCGGTAATCCCCTCACCCATTGTAATCGAGGCGAGTGCCTGGACAACATCGACTGCCGCGGTGACCTTCAATGCAAGAACAATCGCTGTGTCAACCCCTGTGTGGGCGCCTGCGGAATTGGCTCCAACTGCGAGGTAAGTATCCAATTTTTAGACATATCCGAGGGCTTACTAGAAAGTCTAAGCGACAAATGTAATGCAACACCATGTTATAGGCACATATCGATATATAGTACACAGACTTATCCCTCTATCCTGCCATTCTTCCGTTCGTCTGTCCGTCTGTATGACCGCCGATAACTTTAAAACCATAATTGCTAGAGACTCCAAATTTTGTACGAAGTCTTGCCTTTTCCATATGTAGATCAAGTTTTTTGCAAACCAGGTATAGCTTTATTATTTTATATAGCTGCCATGGAATGGATGGGTGCAAAAATCACTCGAAGCGGGATTACTTCTCTGTTTAGCAAAATATCTTTAAATTATTTTTTTTTTTTTTTTAATTTCTTTATTCCTCATGATATTCTGCATTATTATGAAAATCTCTGCATAGAAACGATTGCTGTACTAAGCAGTCTTTTTACCAACAACTTTTAAGATATCAAATTAATTCAATCAATTAACCAATTAATTGGTTATTATGAGTTTTTTATAATTCCTTATCATAATGTAAAGTTTCATCAAACTCGGTTCTTTATACTAGATTCAAGCTGCCATAGGAACTCCATTAATTCCTTTTGATTTTCAATAATATATATTTCGGATTTCTTATAGCCCCGTAATCATGTGGCCGTATGCAGCTGTCCAGCTGGCTATCAAGGCGATCCATACACCTCATGCCGTTTGTCCGATCCAGGTGAGTAGTTTGTTCTTCTCTTCGACTAACAAAAAGAAACACTAGCACTAGATTCTGAGCCATGCCATATTTTAGTCTAAGCCGGCTTTTAGGACGTTTTTTTTTTGTTAGTCAACCCTTTTACCCTTTGGGTACAGGGTGTACCAAATGAGCTGAATTTCTAAAACGAGTTGGGCGGGGGGCACAACTGGCAGACAATTAACTAACCTCTTGAGGTATGTTCGCTTTTAGAGGAGCAATGCCACCCCAGTCCCTGCGGCATCAACACCAAATGCGAGATCATAAACGGCGTACCCACCTGCTCCTGCCTGCATGGTTATCTGGGAAATCCGTTGAGCGGATGTCGCCATGAGTGCGAGCATGACGGCGACTGCTCGGCCCGGGACATGTGCAGCAACTACAAGTGTGTGCCCGCCTGTGGACAGTGCGGCACGGGTGCCACATGCAACACGGTGGCGAATCATCGGGCTGTCTGCGATTGTCCCAAAGGCTACATTGGCAGTCCCTATACGGAATGTCGTCCGGAATGTTATGGCGACGTGGACTGTCCGTCCAATCGGCCGGCCTGCTTCTACGGCATCTGCAAGAATACATGCGAGGGTGCCTGTGGCGTTGGAGCCGACTGCAATTTGCGTGGCTTGACGCCTGTCTGCAGCTGTCCTCGGGACATGACCGGCGATCCCTTCGTGCGCTGTCGTCCTTTCACCAAAGGTACACAAGCTAAGCTGCGTGCACATCCCTTCGAGCCAGCAATATTAATAAGTTGTTCAAATTTTCAGAGGACCTGTGCTCACCCAATCCCTGTGGCACGAATGCCATTTGCGTGCCCGGCCACGACAATACCGGACGAGAGCGGCCCGTTTGTAATTGCCTGCCCGGACACACAGGAAATCCGCTAACGCACTGCTCCCGCGTAAGTCCCCACTGGCTTTTCTCCAAAGCACGTCTCTAACTCTCTACTCATTTCATTCTAGGGCGAGTGTCTGAGCAACAATGAGTGTCCGGACAACAAGGCCTGCATTAACTATCAGTGCGTCAATCCGTGCATTGGAAAGTGTGCTGCGGGTGCCACCTGCGAGCCAAAGGCCCACCTGGCCGTCTGCAAATGCCCGCCAGGACAGTCGGGCGATGCTTTGGTCTCCTGCCGGCAGACGCGCACCTTCCCCGTCGCCAAGTATCATTGAAAGGGCGTGACTTAAGCCGTATTCCCTGCCACCGCCCACTGTATACAAAATGCAGTTGATTACGTAAAGCTAATAATCCAGTCGCTTTCTCTAATCATAATTTATTTTAAATAAACACTCTACTCCTGTTAAATGCATTTTTGAAAAACCACACAACAAACCAAGCAGCTAAGGAACTTTCCACGAGTATATATGTATGTACCTATCGTGCTACTCCCGATAAGCTGTACAGAGAGACAAAATTATAGATTTTGTATATTTATGATTTCAATTGAAATCATTGGGCGCGTTCAGCAGGTCGTACCGATTTGCGATTTGTGATTTGTGATCGATCATTACGGATTTCACCTGCTGACCGCTGTGATTTGTGATTCGGATAAGTATAAATGTTAATCGAAATCACAAAACAACAATCGGGAAAATATTATGTTTGCTTGATATCGATTTTGACACAATAATGAAAATGCTGCCCGTAGAAATTATGCAATTTTTTTTGATAATGAGAAATACTAAAATCAGATTATTTTATTAAAACAGTCATCACAAGCGGTCGGCAGAGGCAAATCAGCAATCGATAATCAAAGATCAAAAATCGCAAATCGTTACGACCTAGACATCAGGCTTAATGCAAATGAACTGCTTTGCACTGCTTGTTTGAATATCATGGACTGGGCTGATTCTTGTTGTCCCGCATTTTTGAAGTAATCGAACCTTTTGGATCGACATAGCTGTTTCCTATATTATCATGCCCGTCTGTCCCTTTGTCCGCCTATAACTCGATAACTTTAGAACTAAAACAGCTAGGAGCACCGAATTTTGGGATAGAGAATTGTTTCATCCACACGCAGAGCAAGTTTATTTCAAGCCACATACTCGTATAGATTCATTATTTAATATGGCTGCGATAGGAACAGTCGGTACAAAAATTACTCTTAGTACTAAATACGTACTCTACAAAAATACACATTTTATTATAATCGTTTTCAATTAAAATCATTTCCACAACACTGAACTGCTTGGCACTGCTTGTTAAAAAATCACTGACTGGGCTTATATTTAAAGTGTTACTATTTTTGGAAGTTATCGAAACTACAGAATAATAAACAAGCCACGAAATATCTAATATCCGGAAATAATATAAACAGCGCATAGCAAGGAAATATTGGATGCATCGAGAAAAGAAAAAGTTCACAGTTTCTTGATCTCTAAAAGAAATTGTATAAAACTGAAACTCAGATCAGGGTAAGTTGCAAGAAATCTACTAAGCACTGCTTGTTTTTTTGAAAAGGATAAATTGGGCTTTTTTTATGTTATGCTTTGAAAAAAGATACTATAAAGAAGCTTTTAGCAAGGAAGTATTGGTTGAATGCATCGACCTGGACTTTCTTTTTTGAGCAGGGCTTAGGAATGAACTATGAAACGCATCAATGTGGATGATATCAAAAGAAATATTCGCAATTGCATAAAAATTGTATTTGAAGACAATATTGTTTAGAAGCTTTACGGGGCTAACGGATAATAAAAATTGTTACAGATTATTTAAAGTGCCGCTAGAAAGTTTTGTATATAATTGAAGAGCTCTACATACCATGAATGGTTTTCGTTTTGACAGAAATCTTTCACATATCGTATTGCCCATCATTTTAAATGTTTTATGTTTTTAGATAGAGTCAGAATAAATATAATCTGCTCTCTCGGAGTCGTATACAACCTGGCAAGTGTAATTCTCCGGTTTGAGTAACAAATTTATTTATATAACCGCCATAGGAGCGGGCGTCTATACTATATAGAACATTGATCCGACTATGGTTGTACCGACCATTTTTCCAATATACAACTTGTTTCCCATAACCTTTTAAAAAACATAAGACTTCATACATACGATTATTAGAAACTTGATCGTTACTACGACATCTATTATAATAATATATAATATGGTAGCCAAATTCAGCCGAGTTTGATATCAAAAAATGGAAGCCTATGTTTAACATGCTAGTCTAATTTCCGTAGAAACAGACAGATGAAGATAAGGAAGGAATCGGCTCGTCGTGCTGTTCATTATGCTACCTACTTGTATATATACATATATAATAGAAATGTTTAAAAGAAATGTTATCTCAACTTTCTACCACAAACAAATATTAATTTCTGTTATTTGAATATAAAATTCAAATATATAGTTCAAATCTATAGTATATTAAAAGTTATAGATGCTTGATCTTGAGATGTTGTGGTGCTACATTTTCTTAAATTGTTGCTTTTTGTTTTTCCAATTTTAGTTTCAATCGAAATATAGGTGGTCCCAGCCACCAAATGAAGGATTTATTTCGTAAATATTGTTTTTATTATATATGAATATTTTTTAATTAAAAGAGAACAAAATATAAATAATTTTGTACCCCAAAACTCCATTCTCGTGCCGATGAAACTTTCAATTTGTAGTCACATAATACATACAAACATGTAGATTGATCAGTCCCCTCTATATACTCTACAGCTGCCGAACAAATGACAACCATATGGGTAAATGTTTATAAAAATGTTGTATCTAGAAATTTCTCCATCGAAATAACAAAGTCGCCGTATACATAAATAATTTGTTATTGTTAAATATATATATATATATATATATATATATATATATATATATATATACTTTCATTTATAAAGATATATATGTATATATGTAGGCCCATATACAATAGAATATCGTTTACTGTTTCAATATACAGCGCCGCTTGGAATATATAATTTACACACAGAGAGTACATACATAGGTGATAGGTGGTACATGAAAAGCAAACGAAATACATACATACATATACATACATATATATACATATGGGTATATATTAATATCCAACACATCGCAGCAATAATCGTTGCCTACATACATACATACTTAAGAGCTATCGTACATCGTTATACTATGAATCTTTTGCATTGGAGTGGCTGCGCTTTCAAAAAATTTTGTTGTCAGAATTATTTTTACGCGGCGCAACAAGTGGCACAGTTTATGGGGAGGGAGGTGGTGAGGAGAAGAAGTTGGGTATAGGGGGAGAGCAGTAGCATTAAAGGCGCAATAATTTGGATCACGATACTGAACTGAACAACATGTTGGCTTAACAATTTGGAGGCCCCTCTATATAAACTACGATACAATTATGCAATTGGCAGATCGCGTAATAAAAGCTACGGTCAGACGGGCAAATAATTTGCAGCCAAACCTGTCGCATTTCAATTGAAACCAATAGAAATTCTATGGGGAACAAACATCTTTGGGACTTACATTTACATTTCGGGGCCAAGTTGAAGCATAAAACAAGAATATGTGTGCAAATTATTTGCACGTCTGACCGCAGCCCAATGCTACATAAATACATATGTGGTGTGTAAGTTTAGATTAACAATATTAGTTTTACTTTGCAGTGGTATTCCATCAAACAAAAAAATATGCGTACAAGCAAAAAAATTGTGCAAAAACGTTACAAAATTAGTTGTTGGCAAAAATTTAAGAAAAAAAGAAAAACAATAAACAAATAGAAAATATACAAGTCAATATTTAATAAATTACTTTTTTTTCTTCTTCCTTAAGCGTAAATGTTTGTTGTCTGTTGTCTGTTGTTTATTATTATTATTGTTTTTGTTTTCATCTCATTTTTTGCGCATTTTATAACCAAACTATTTAGTTAGCGTTGTAAATACAATATTCTGTATAAATATGTATATGTATGCTTGTATTCTTCTTCAAATAAATATGTAATATGCATTTTGTTTCTTAATTTTTGTATATATATATTTTTTTTGTTTGTTTTGTTTCTTGTATATTAACTTGCCGAATACAATTCATTATTATGTACGACTGTGTGGCATTTTATAAAATGATCTACATATGTGTTTAGGTACATAAAAAACAATATATTTTGTTTCTTACTCTTTTTCGTATATATATGTGTGTGTGTGTGTGTTTGTGTGTATTTATAAATTATGTACGTATATCTAAATATACGATAATATGCATATGTGTGTATGTGTATGTGTCGCTGTACCGAACCACATAAATCAGTATACTACGAGCATCCTTCCCGAAACACACCACTTTCAACTGCAACATTTGTTTTTTCGTTTATTCTTCGGATGCTTCAAGTTAATGGTGTCCTTCTGCTGCTCATTGGAGGCGGTACGCAACTTGTGGTTCAACACCTGCCTCGTTATCGACAGAAACATCTCCTCCACGTTGATGTTATCTTTGGCGGATGTCTCATACAATTCAATATCCATTTGTCGCGCAAAGCGTTGCGCGTCCTCCGTGATGACTACCTTTCGATCGGGATCATCATTCTTATTGCCAACTTTGAAGCAATGATGAAGAAGTGATGATGAATTATAAATTGATCGGGTCATTTAAGCGTTCATTTAACTCACCTAATACTTTGTTCACAACATCGCAATTATTCTGTATCTCCTCCAGCCAGCGCCGCACATTCGCAAACGAATCGCCATTCGTCACATCGTAGACGATAATCACGCCGTGCGTGCCACGATAATAGGTGCTGGTGATGGTCCGGAATCGCTCCTGTCCGGCCGTATCCCAAATCTGAAGCTTAACGCGCAATCCATCAATCACCACTGTGCGTATTTTAAAGTCCACACCAATCGTTGTTATGTAGCTACCCGAGAATGTGTCATCTGAGTAGCGTATGAGTAGTGAGGATTTTCCTACACCTACAAACAAAAAGCGACCCGAAAGTTGAGTAAATTGGCGATTATTTATTTAATATCTCACATTTCAACGCAAATACATCTGAACTCGTAAAACAATTCAGTTTTCTTTGAATAACAGGCGTTACAGAAACTAGGAATATAATGTGATGATACACGATTTTCTTATAACTGTAACAATCAAGACCTGGTTGTGTGCCGAATCCACTAATTCTCTTCTTCCACTTTACGTTTCCTTTCAATTTTCCTTTTATAATGCAGCAATTCTCGTATTACCTCTTTTATCAATCAAGAACACATTTGCTTCACCAAACAAAAGTCACAAATTTTTTAGCATTAAGTAATTGTTATAAAAGATGTTAATCGGGAAAACTTATGTCCCACAAGGATGAAAACTAAAAATCAAATAACATATAATATATTGAATGAGTGGATTAGAACAGTTCCGATTTTGAAAGAAATAAGTAATCAATATTTAGCTAATAAATAAATATAAAATGTAATATCTGATTAAGAGGTATACAAAATAATTAAAAGGATGGGATAGCTAGGCACAAAAAATCACAAATATAGAATGTTCGAGCAGTTTTAAAAAAATTTCGCCGTTAATTTCCGGTTAAGAAAGTTGTTAAACAAAACGCTCCCGTCTTTATCTTTTACGAAAAATATAATTATTTATAAATACAGTTAGATAAGAACCAACCAAAATTCGAAACTCCGGAAACAAATCTACATAAAGTATAGAATAGAATTGTCCTCTAGAACTGTCTTGATATCTAAATTATAAATTCTATCTACCCACTTTAAATAGAAAATAGAAAATTGTAATAAGCAATACTGTCGCGTTATTTTTGTTATTTTGATAAATAAACAAAAATAGAAAGTTAAAATAAAGTTGGATAAACTTTAAACTAATTCTCAATATAAAAATGAATTTTGTGTTATTTGTAAATTTTTACTTAAAAATAAAGCTGAATAAACATTTGTTCTTGTTTTTTTTTTTTTTGTTTTTTTGCTGTATATGGGCCTCGACACGATATCTTATTAATGTCTGGCGGTCTCTGGCCAGATCAGCCGAGATAGGGCTGAACCGCAAGGTAAATACCTACATAGACGGGCAACCAGGCCCGGCAATAGGAATTCGGCACACTGGCAAATAATGCGTTTGGTTTTGTTTTACGATTTTGGCGGCTGCTGCTGTTCTATTAATAGTGTTATTTTTTAGGGCAAATGTTATGAATGAAGGAATATTCATGCATCGGCTGTCCAGAAAAATTGATATGCACTTACCACTGTCCCCAATTATAAGCAACTTGAACAGATGATCGAAGCCGCGAGCCATTTTGGCGCTGCTGCTGATGCTGCCGTCGATGCAATTAACAGTTTGGTGGTGTTGGCCTCAAACTTTGAGTGCGGCCGAACGATGGAACAAAAAAAACAACAAAAAACAAAAAAAAAAGTGCACTGTCCGCAAATTTTTCCGATTTTATTCTGTTGCTGCTACTGTTGTTGTTGTTGTTCAGTGCCGTGCCTTGCTCCCACATTCACGGAGACAAACATACGAGTGTGCGCTTTCTCGCTCACACGCACAGTGCTGCGGTAGCCGGCGAGTGACTGCTATAAATATGTATGTATGTACGATGAACTGTTGTTCTTCTGTTTGCCGTTAATGTTGTTGTTGTTGCTGGTGTATGATAAGCGCTGTATTGTTATTGGTGTTGCAGTAGTGTTGTTAATTTATGTAAGTTTATTTAATTTCCTTTTATTAAAAATGTCTTAGGCGGCGTCAGCTCTTGTTGCGCTTGTATTGATGCTGCGATTGCTTGCTGCCTCTGTATGTAGTTGTGGTCGTTGTCGCTTTTTGTAGTTTAGGGGCGGCGGCGACGACGGCAGTAACAAAGAATTTTGTTGTACTTATCAATTATTTGTGTGTGAATAAAGAATCAAAAAAACTTCAATATAAAAACGTTGGTAAGGCAGCAGCATAAAATTTCCCACTAGATAGCAATATGTTGTTCTTGTTGCTTTTTTATTGTGTTGTTGTCGTGGGAAGCAGACTGCACGAGCTCATGCATGCGCGTTATTAAATGCTGTTGATGCTGTAGCTGCCAACACAATTAACGTTTAATTACAATTTTTATTTTAACAAACAATTTGGCTCTCAACGAAATAGCGAACGCTAACCATTTGCATTTGCAAAACTGCCTTCTCTCTCGCGCGCACTGCCAGCGACTGCTTTAGTGGGATTTATGGTGGCCGTTTCGCCAAGCGCACACACTCACACGCACACAGAGCTTACTTTTGTTAAAATTGTTGTTGCTGTTTGTTAATTTTTTTGCACCACTTGTTTAACATTCGATTCCACTAGCAACAGCACTCCAGTGCGATTTGTGTGTGTGTTGGATGTATTTAAGACCGCTTTTTATTTATTTATCTGGCATTGTTTGATATTTGTACGCTCGTTGATCTAAGCTGCGCTGGATTAAATTTATGAGCTAACTATTACTAATGCACCATATTATTTCTTTTACTTTTTGTTGCCGCTACGTTGCCATTTGACAAAACGTCGTGTTTAGTGGAACATCGATATAACATATCGGCATAGTGCTGCCATCTGGTAATGCGACTATCGCTTTTGTAAATAAGAGCAGCATGAACAGTTATATTGTAGCAGGTGACGAACGCAAAAACCACTAATAAAAAATGCATTTTTAAAATAAAGCTGTTTACTATACCTCGCCATGAAATACTGAATTGCAAAACTCAACTATTTTTATTTCAGTGGCAGTGGCAGTATCGTTTTGATATAATACCATGCTGTCATATGATATCGCAAATGTGCAATATCGATATTTTCATGTATCGATACAAAATACTACTGGGAAACTACTCTCCGATAAGCAATACTAAACGCATAGCTTAAGCGTATATTATGACATTTAGCCATTTGCAAATAAAAATGCAATACAGGAGGCATTGACTGCTAACTAAAAAGACAGCGTGTGTGTTTTAGACACACCCCAAACGACAACAATTGGCAACAGTGGCAATCGCGGGAGCGAGCGTCACACGAGCAAAAGTCAGCAACGCCGGCAAACGTAGAGGCACAGAAAATTAAAATGACTACGGCACGGGATCTCATTAAAATCGACATAGTAAGTTAAGCTTTCCTTGTAGTTAATGTGTGGCTTATTAATGATGAAACCATCCACTTGCAGGAATGGGGCATGGAGCGCTTGGTGCGAGCCCAACAAGTCGTTGAGTTGCGGCCATATGACATTGAATCCTGGTCGGTGATGTTGCGCGAGGCCCAAACGCGGCCAATACACGAGGTGCGGAGTCTGTACGAGTCGCTGGTTAATGTCTTTCCCACCACAGCACGCTACTGGAAGTTGTACATAGAAATGGAAATGCGGAGTCGGTATTTCGAACGTGTGGAGAAACTATTTCAGCGCTGCCTGGTTAAAATTCTAAATATTGATTTGTGGAAATTATACTTGACCTATGTGAAGGAGACTAAAGCCGGTCTCAGCACACATAAGTGAGTAGAATCATATCTTACCTTAAGCAGCAATAGCTATTTTCCTATTCGGTTTCAGAGAAAAGATGGCACAGGCTTATGATTTCGCGTTGGAGAAGATCGGCATGGATTTGCACTCGTTCAGCATTTGGCAGGATTATATATACTTTTTGCGTGGAGTCGAGGCAGTGGGTAGTTATGCGGAGAATCAAAAGATTACCGCCGTGAGACGTGTTTACCAAAAGGCTGTAGTCACGCCCATTGTCGGCATTGAGCAGCTGTGGAAAGATTACATAGCCTTTGAGCACAACATCAATCCCATAATATCGGAGAAAATGATTTTGGAGCGTTCCAAGTATGCAGCTGAAACATTATTTAATTCTAAGTCGCCTTGTATTTAATGCTTTTTAATCTTCACATCGCCCTGTAGAGACTACATGAACGCACGCCGTGTGGCTAAAGAGTTGGAGTATCATACAAAAGGCCTTAATCGCAATTTACCGGCAGTGCCGCCCACACTGTCCAAAGAGGAAATGAAACAAGTGGAGCTGTGGAAACGTTTTATAACCTATGAGAAATCGAATCCTCTACGCACTGAGGATACTGCTCTGGTCACACGCCGAGTCATGTTTGCAACAGAACAGTGCTTGTTGGTGCTTACACATCATCCAGCCGTTTGGCATCAGGCCTCGCAATTCCTGGACACCAGCGCACGGGTCCTGACCGAAAAGGGCGTACGTAATTGCTTGAATTGTTGAACGCACATTCCGTCCATTATCTTCACAACATGCTAATTATTTCCCTTGTATTCGCAATACAGGACGTACAGGCAGCCAAAATCTTTGCGGATGAATGTGGCAACATACTCGAGCGCTCAATTAATGGTGTACTTAATCGCAATGCATTGCTCTACTTTGCATATGCTGATTTCGAGGAGGGACGTCTCAAATACGAGAAAGTCCATGCCATGTATAACAAGCTGCTTCTCCTGCCGGACATTGATCCCACGCTGGTAAGTCACTTTTGAATTAATAAATCACTTGCTAAATATATGCCAAAAAATGTTTAACTACTTGTAAATGAAACGTACTCATATATAATCAAAAAAAAAAAAAATAGCAACTGCTTTTAAAACGTACGTGTGAGCTAGCCTCTCGGATCCGCTCATCGCAAAAAGTGGGCAATAAACTTGTCTGCGGCTACTTATAATCAATATAATGTTTCACATTAACTTTGTCGAGTATGAATATAAATTTTTGAATAGTAAGAAGGTTTTCTAGATGGCTGAACATACTTAGCATTCTAACATATAGAATGAGATACATATATGTTGCAATTTTGAAAAGCGAAAGGCAACATGTGAATCCACTTTATTTCAAATCCGTTTCTTAAATACAAATTATAATTAGCACAACTTTAGGCGTTTGCGCATAATGTTAAGCATCAATATTTGTGTTGATTTAAAGAGTTGATATTTGTGCAACTAATTGACAGATTTATTCAAGATTTGGGGCCAGTCTATCGGAAAATATGGTACATTGTACATTGTCTTTTTAAAGTAAATATTAGCATGATGTGAAATGTTTTATACATACAAATTTTTAAGAATTTTTGTTGACAAAAAAGTGCGTTAAAAATCAATCCAAGTACTTATTTCACTACTCCGGGAGGCCAAACGATTGCTTGAAAATAAACACTTAACTACTGCCCTAGATTTTGGAAAATAAAACGTGAACTAGAATACGACAAGTTCAGAAGGCAACGAGTGTGCTTTTCGTAAAATCAGAAACTCATTCAAAAGGCCTTTCCTCATGCTCCGCTCATTTACACAAAGGAAAGAAACTTCTATTTGGAGCAGCTTTTCCAGATATAAAAGGGCTGTGAAAATTGTATACGCTTCTGAGTGTTAGAAGCATTGGCAACCATCTTCTACACCGATTTGGGCGCCCTTTATACGCTCGTAAATCCCGATTAAATAGTGCAACACCATATTTTTAGGTCTATGTACAGTACATGAAGTTTGCACGGCGCGCCGAGGGCATTAAATCGGCGAGAGCCATCTTCAAGAAGGCACGTGAAGATGTGCGGTCGCGCTATCATATCTTTGTAGCAGCCGCCCTTATGGAGTATTACTGCTCGAAGGATAAGGAGATAGCCTTTCGGATATTCGAGCTGGGATTAAAGCGTTTCGGTGGCAGTCCCGAATACGTAATGTGTTATATAGACTATTTATCACATCTCAACGAGGATAACAACACGCGTGTGCTGTTTGAGCGCGTGCTCAGCTCTGGAGGACTCTCCCCACACAAGAGCGTTGAGGTGTGGAATCGGTTTCTGGAATTCGAGTCAAACATTGGGGATTTGTCCAGTATTGTGAAAGTGGAGCGACGGCGGAGCGCAGTTTTCGAAAACGTACGTGCCGACAATCTCCCTATTCTGGCTATCTATCAGTCAATCAATCAATCAATCGTCCTTTACAGCTGAAAGAGTACGAGGGCAAGGAGACGGCACAGTTGGTGGATCGCTATAAATTTTTGGACTTGTATCCCTGCACCACCACAGAGCTAAAGTCTATTGGCTATGCGGAAAATGTGGGCATTATTGTGAACAAGGGGGTCGGTGGTGCCAGTGGTGGTGGCGTACAGAGCAGTAATTCCACGGGGCGTGGCATTGGTGGCGGCGCTGATGATGATCATGATGGCGAGGCGGTGCCGCAGCTACCACGTCCAGACTTCTCGCAAATGATTCCCTACAAGCCACGGCCTTGTGCCCATCCGGGTGCTCATCCGTTGGCCGGCGGTGTCTTTCCACAGCCGCCAGCTCTGGCCGCCTTATGTGCCACACTGCCGCCACCGAACTCCTTCCGTGGACCATTTGTGTCCGTCGAGATGCTCTTCGATATATTTATGCGCCTCAACCTGCCAGAATGTAAGTAAACCCAACTGAGATGTCAGTATACTTGTATTAAGAGCAATTATGAGCTTTCTTTATTCCTAAATCGTTGCAGCGGCCCCACAACCCAACGGTGACAACGATCTGACGCCAAAAATATTCGATCTGGCGAAGTCTGTGCATTGGATTATCGACACGAGCACGTACACGGGTGTGCAGCACAGTGTTACGGCACTGCCTCCACGACGGCGTCGTCTGCTGCCTGGCGGAGATGACAGCGACGACGAGCTCCAGACTGCTGCACCGCCCGCCCACGACATTTATCGCCTGCGGCAGTTAAAACGCTTTGCGAAATCGAATTGAAGCGGGTGGTTTTTATTTTATTTTTTTATTGAAACCTCAAAACAGAATATTTATACAAAAAACCCACAACAAGTTTCTTCTTCTTTCTCCAAATAAAAAAGAACCATATTTTCACCTAAAACATAATCAGAATATATTCACTATTTCTACATAAATACCTGAAACCTAATTAGATTGTTGGAAAGCCATATTACGAAATATTTTCCCTCTGACAGACTTTAAAATTAATCGAATCATATGGAAACATTAGCCCTTTCTGCGTTTAAAAGCAAAAAATTTTAATTGTTCGAAAAAGGAAAGTTAAGTAATTGTCTAAAAGTATTTATTATCCCAAAGAAAAGTCCAGCCCTTCAAAGCCTTTTAACTTAGTGTTCGCCCACAATTTTTACTCATGCAATTATGCCTCACAAATCGTTTACCACAATTTTCCCCAATTGCGAGTCAAATTTTTGCAAACCTTCGAAGAAACTAGTGTCCGATTCAACTCTCATGCTTGGTCTACTCATTCATATGTAAATAACTTTTATAATCCGGACTTGTAAGTATAATACTTTTCTAGTTAATTCACGGAAATGTCACTGCCCCTCAGCTTTAGTTTTTCTTTAAACTTATACTTTGTTAGTTGCCAATGTGCGTAAAATATTCGACCACTCCCCTGCACTTTGAACTTTTTATTATTTTTTTGGATGAAGGAATTTCCCCCCAAATTTGTTGACTGCCATTTTCCCGAATTGACAGTCGAATTTTCAAAAGTCTGTAATGCATTTTTTTTTATTTTTAACTCTTTTTCATTTGCAGTATAATAGTAGAATAAAAAATGCGTGATTTTAATTTTTTTTATTCATTTTAATAATATTTGAAAACACTTAACGAATATATTCTAAATAGAAGAGATTGTGCTATAAAGAACTTGAGTTATATTTGAAGTGAGATAATTCGGAGAGAATTGTGACTGATAGTTGTGTAGAAAACCAACCCAAGGTGATGTTAGGAGTGGTTATTATTGGTACTTGAGTGGAGCACTTGTTGTATTCAATTCCATTACATAATTATGGATGGGGAAGTAAGCGTGTATGAGTAATATTCATTTACAAAAAGCGCATAACAAAGTCAAAGAAACTCGATGAGAGTGCTCACTTCTTTATCAGCTCCGTGGGCACACAGCGCTTGCGGTGCTTGTACAGTCCCGCGTATTGGGCAAAACGACGTCCGCAGGTCATGCACGCGTAACGCTTATCGCCACGATGCAGATTAAGATGGGCGTAGTAGGCAGATCCCACAACGAAGGCGCGCTCACAATAGGGACACACCTTGTCGCGTATGTTGAGGTGAGCCCGAATATGACGATCGCGCTCGTGGGCCGTGTAGAAGGCTTTCTCGCAACGATTACAGGGAAAGTCGCGCTGACCCCGATGTCGCTTAACATGCTGATTAAGCTTGCTGGCGTTTACAAAGCCCCGGGCGCAGTGCTCACAGACATAAGGCTGTTCCTTGGTGTGGCTGCGCATGTGAACGCGGAGGGCTGTGGAATTGAAGAACTTTTTGGGGCACTCGTTGCAGATGTGGGTGCGCTGGCCAAGATGACGCCGGAGATGTGCCAGAAGGCTGTTGCGTAGCGAGAACTTCATGCCGCAAATATGGCAAATGTGCTCCAAGGAGTTTGTATTTGTGGCGGCCCTACGACGTCGGCGCTTTCGCGGTGGCAACAACCCCGCTATGGCATCCTCATTGTCTTCATCCTCCTGCTCTTGTTCGTCCAAATGGACGTTGCGCTCGTGCTGTAAGAAGTCTGTGCGACGTTTAAAGCTGGCTGGACAGCGAGTGCAACCGAATGGGGAGACGTGTGGCTCCAAGAACTTCAATGCGTCATAATATTCATATTCTGGAGTCCAGGGCTCGTTGGTCTTGACGGCCAACAGCCGCGCTCCCTTGCACTGCCGGTACTGATACCGGAAGTCGATGAGTCGATTTTTTAGTCGTTCCACCGTTATCTGTAGGTTGCATTCCTCCTGCAAGCGCGTGCACAGCGACTCCAGATGCCGTTGACGTTGTTTGCGCTTCGTATAGTCCGGATGATCGGTGCACCAGAGCTGCTCGTAGTTGCGATAAACGGAAATTATCTTCAAATTATTGTCGCGCTGCTGCAATGTCTTCTGCATCTCACTGCTAATGGGCAGCACGTCATCAAGAAAGCGAAAGGCATCGAAGAAGCACCACTTGGTACCGCTGGTCGGCTCTCGCTGCCTCTCCCTTCTATAGTACTTGGTATAGTCTGTCAGCTTGCGGTGAAGCGTTTGCCAGCTGTAGCTCTTGGCGGACCCATCGGCATTCATCAGTTCAGTGATTCGTTGCCAGGCCTCCCGCCGTTGCTTGCGCTCGTAGTAGTCCAGATGGTTGGGATCCCACAAGCAAGCATGCATTCTGTATAGCTCGATGAGCCTGAATGTCTGCTGCAGTGTGAGTCGCAGGCGCAGGCGCTTCTTAACCGACAGCTTTGAATATGGTTGGTTCTTAATACGGATTAGTTTTTCACAATTTATTTGAAGCTCACCAATTCCTCTGATTCCTGAGACGGCCCTGACGCTTTAGTGTCTTCTTCATCTAGCACGTGATCTGCACACAGCACTTCTACGGTGCCTTTCTCGGCTAGGGTCGTCGTTGGCTCAGCTGGGGCTTCAGTGTCTAGGTCGGGACTACGAGTTGACGTTTCTAGGTCGGTTGCAGAACCTGGTGCTAGCGGAGAGTTCGCTGGCTCAGTCTCTGGAGTCGGCAGCTGTAGCTCGTATGAAAATTCTGCGCACTGCACTTTGATCACCAGCTCCTTGTGCGGATCTTCCACTGTTGATTGCGAGCGAGTCTGTATAGAGAGGGTAACCCGTAAATAATAATGATTTTTCGACAACTATCTTGATTGCAATACCTCGTCATCCTTGTTTTCTGGGTTACGCTCTAGCTGCGCCATAATCTCACCGACAGTTAGATCGAAATCTTCCTGGTGGGTGTGCAACTCGGTCTCTGCATCCGCAACTATCTCCACCTCTGTTTGTACCTCCGCCTCTACCTCCACTTCTGCCGCCACCACAGAGTCTCCCTGCACCTCTACCTCTGCGTCTAAGTCCGCACTCCTATCGACCTCCGCTTCCATTTCTGCTACAGCTGCTGCAACGGCCTGGCAAGTTCCCTGGACATGTGTCTGGTGACTGACCAAATTCTCAAAGATCTTGCCACACACCGCACATACATACGGATCGATATGCTTGTGCAGGAACTCCATGGTCCCATAGTGCTCGAATGAGCTCACAAACGCATCCTGCTTACCCTCGACCACGCTATGCAAATATCGAATCTTCTCCAGGCGATAGCGCTTGCGCAGCGACTGTAGACGTCGCTGCACGGCCAGAGAAGACAGGTTGATGCCACTTAAGCGCAATGCCAGCTGCATTCCTCGTAGGGCTTCCTGCCGACGGTGTATCGTTTCGGCACAACGCAGTCGCTTATGGGCATTATGCCAAAGTATCGGATAGTGTTCGTAGATCTCTAAGAGTTTGCGATTCTCACGGGCTATATGCTCGCTCCGCTTAAGCAGAGCCTGCTGCTCGCATAGAAAACTCAGATGATCGTAGTGGACGAACTTGCTGGCATCGTCCAATTCCCCCTCGGCTTCCAAGCGCTCGCGTTGCTTCAAAAAACGTTGGCATAGCGTCGAGACACGTATACGTACATCGGTTACGCTGAATTTTCGATCACAGTGAGCACTCCAGGCGGTAGTAATCGACTGCCAGGATGCCCGGCACTTCTCTACATCGCGAAATTCGGCATGAGACTGATTCCAAAGACGTGGCTCATTGCGATACAACTCAATCAGTTTGTTGATGTGATCCGTTGTCAGCTTGCAACTCTGTGGCAGAGTGTCCTATTGGATGGGTGGATGTATTTATTAAAATCCTTAATGTTGTTGAACAGGGAACTACTTACTGTTAATCCATATTCCACTTGAGCGCTTAAGCTGGGCGCCTTGGTAAGCTCACTCGTAAGCTCTGTAGTGGGGTTTCCATTCGGTGTTGAAGCGACATTGTCCTAGTAATAGGAAAAAAGTCTTAGGGACATCCAAGTGGGTTTAGATATTCGTAACATGCTCACTCTATCCATTTCTTTGGCTGTCTCATTGCTCTCCTTTAGGCCGTCCTAATGGGACAATGTTTCAGGTTCTAAGTCAGGGTTAGATTTAAGAGATAAGGTGAGTATGTACTTACCTGCGACACAATGATGGGCTCTGCAATGTCGTTCCTACCTGTCTCTATCTCGGCGACCGTTTCACTATTTGGCGGAGAAAATGTTGCGTCCTTTGCGAAGAGAATAAAATGAATTAGAGGCGAAGCCAGGGAACAGACTTTGGGGGCGCCATAGAAGTTAAGCCGAGCTTCTCACCTTCACCTGCAACGCCAGGGTCTGCTGCTGCTGCTGCTGCTGCTGCGCCTTAGCAAGTGGTTCATCGGCATTCAGTTGCTGAACAAGCTGTTGTTTGAGCTCATTGTCAGAGCCATCTGTCTGCTCCGCCAGCACCTCCTGCATGAGTTCATCCTCGATGCCGTCGATTAGGGACAATTCCGATGTTACGCACACATCGGCCTGCCAATCCCCATGCCAAACATCCATATGTTCGGCGAACTCATTTAGCGTGCAGAGTGGACGTTCCTCGCACAGAGCACACTCGATGGCATAGAGCTCCCCTGCACAATTCCAGGTGTAGACAGTACCACATTGGAGGGCTGTCGTCATTGCTTTTGCGAATGCGATTGCGATTGCGATTGGTTATTGTTGATGTTTTCACTTTTTAAGCTGGCTTCCGAATGTGGCGCACTTGGTTAATGCTTCAATGAGAGCTGCGGAGCTAGAGAGCCCAGTTAGGCACGGCAATAGCTGCGCAAAGAGACCAACCAAGTACTACGCGTGTCGCCTTTGTTTGTGACGTTGTGAAAATGCCAAAGCGGCTTGTTGGCCGTCAAACCCGTTGCGGCTCAATCCGATGCACACATATGTACACATGTATATACATACATATATAAACACACACACAGAATCACACACACCCTCGATACAATACACGC